AAAGAAAGAGGCCCAAACAGAGCAATATGGGAAGACAGAGATGTTTGAACCCTCATCTCACGTGGAGCAGGGCAGCCTGGATTTAAGAGCTCCTTCCAGTTTCTCCTCCTGCTGGAACTCCAGCTTGGGGATTTATTTGTGCACCACACGATGCATAAGGGGACTATGTGCATGCGTTATTAGATCCAAAGAAACAAAAGCAAGGAGTTGTATTTCCAAACAGTACTAGCCGAAAAAGCTAGAGCTGACGTACTCTCACACAGCTGGCATGCATCAGGAGCCAAACCCAACTCCCAGCTAAATTCATACAACCCCACCCAAACCAGCATAGCTAAATGAGAAGCTGGCTTATTGGAAAAAACGTGCACTATCCAGGCTTTGAGCTGTAAGAGCTGTCCAGAATATGTGTAGATGAGCAAAGACCATGACATTTTCCTTTTAAAATCCATTCTTTGTTGATTATTCCTAAGACAGCCATTATTCTAGGTCTCTGAGACATGATTCATGCAACACTGCAGAGCTACACCTACACTGCAAAGTGCAAATGCAATAAACTTGCTTTGTCCATGCCCCAAGCAAATGTATAGCACTCAGTCTATGCTAGTGGTGCAGGGCCTGTCCTAATACAACCTGCTCACCACCCCTGTGCTGAGCTGTCACAGCCTCTGCTTGGCTTGCATCTATCCGTGCAAGTGCTGGCACATCAACATGTGATATAGATGAATCCCATATAACCCAGAGACGCTTTTCCTCTGCGATTCTAAATTTCTAACCCTGGCTTCAGCAATGAAGCCCTGGGGGCAAGGGAGGGGATGAGCAAGAGCCAAATTCCTAGCAAAAGTTTGGAGCCAGCTTCCTCATTGAATCTTGTTGCAGCTTCGCTATAATGCCTTCCACCACAAGAGTCTGGCTGCAGAGGATATTGTCTCCCCATTGCCCGAGAGCTTTCCCCAGGATTTTTCCAATTGTATTTGTCATCCTGGAAGAAAATTCTGGTACATTTGCTTGAGATACTGCAGTGCTGCTACACAGGACACTGGCTGAACTCAGCAGCAAAGGGAACAGAGATGGATAAAATTTACAGAGCAGCTCTTCCACAGACATACACCAGCATCTGTTGCCTAAAATGCAGGCTATGTGCTATACTAAATTTACCTATCTTCACTTTCCATTTCAGACAGCTGTTGGTAACAGCAGAAGCCAGAGGGGACATACATCTCCAAATCCCAACAGCTCAGGCTCCCGTTTATCCGAGTGACCAAGGAGGCTGTGGCAATGGCTGGGCAGTTAGTGCATTTCATATTCCAGCTCGGCAAAGCTCTTTCATATTCCATACTAGATAAAACACAGATGTATTTTCAACTCTCTTTCCCCAGTTCTACATATAGCTCTATTTGGAAGAAAGAAAATTATTCTCCTTCATTTGTTTCTCCCTCAGTTTTAAGAAAAAAAGTATGAAGGACACAAAAATCACCAACATGCCAAAAAGGAATTTTCAGATAAATTTCAGAATATAGCAAAGGCAAAACATATTGGGGGGGGGAGGGTTGGTTTCCTCTTGCCTTAATTTTTTTACTATAGCTCTTCAGGTAAATCCTTTCTCAGTGACTTGTTGATTGCAAGCTTGATTATTCTGTTGAATTCTAACACCCACAGGCTTGATTGTACAGCATCAATGAGACTACGTGAAAGCCACAGGCTCTGCAGCATGAACGAATTGGGACAGTACCATCATCTGTTTAACAAATAGCTGCCAGGCGCACGCACACACACATGCCCTCCAGGTGGCTAGCATCACTTAAAGCAGAAGGAAGCTCCATTTCTACACTTGTAATCATACTTTATAATCTAAACCACACATATTATTTAAATAATCTTTCAAAGAGTACTGTGGGGAAGGGAAAAAAATGTAGACGGATAATTCCACCTGTGTCTGTGTTTAATATGAAAGCATAGGTTTCATAATGTTACGAGATGTTTCGTGCTAAGGCCTGTGGCACCCTGGGGCTCTTGGGGGCAGCTTGGCGGGTCCCAGAGCCGACATCTCACACCAGCTTCCGCCCGCCCAAAGAAGAGCCCCCAAAGCACCGTTTCCAACATGCCTCATCTCCTGCAACTTTAAGAAACATTCCTCCACCAGCTTGAGGAAAGAGCAGCAGCAGCAAAGACAGCTATCAGCACTTAGCTTCCCCCCCCGCTCCCTAAGCGAGCAATCCATATTTCTGTCTCCACTACATACGACTGTGTAGCCCACCAGCCCCTCAGCTCGGACAGTCCGTGAGTTACCTCATTTTTAAGCTCACTCAAATCAGCATTATACATTGCTAAAAGCCCCATAATCTACGCATTTGATAGGAAAAAACATTTTGGGGACCATGAAAAATATGTCTTAGTACAGACTGGGCCACCTTCAGCGCGACAGGGAACAAGATGACGCTCGGCTTTTGCGAGCATGGCATCTAGAGCAGCTGGGAGAAATGCCTGTGCCATCAGGCACCAGTTTGCCAACTGGTCATGCAAGCAGCTCTCTTTTTCTGAAGGCTAGCAGGGGCACTGAAGCCCCACATAACCGTGTACCCCTCTTCAGGGAACGCTGTAAAGCCTTCAGCTCATTTGAATGAGCTTAGGTTGGAAAAAAGGGTGGTTTTTTCACTTTATAGATACGCTCCTCCACACAGGATTTTTTTTTCAAGATCTACATCAAACAAGGAAAAACAAATGCTGAGAGGGCAGATTTAGGGCAATTTATCAAGGTCTGGGAAATAGCTTCCAGATGGATAGAGTTGTTTGGTGCTGGCTGGTGAGAAGGAAGCAAGGTATTGTTATTGAATTAGCATGAACCTCTGGTGGAGGACGGCTTGCTCGAGATAGAGCGCTCCTTTCATATGGTTTGCATTTGGACCTGTCAAATTTCATTTTTACTCAAAAACCTGTGGTACAGGCACAGGGTTCTTTTTTGCTTATTAAATTTCCCCCAATTCTCCCCGTACTGTTAGGCAGTCAGTGCTTTTAAACTCCCTGCTTTGCTTTAAGTGCCCTGCTTGGGTTTGTTTGCTCTTTGCCGTGGCTGGACGACAGCTCGGTGCTTACAAGCATACAAGCGGTTTTGGATCAGACCGAGTTCACGCACCGATCGTCACCTGAGAACGTGTGCAAGAGAGGAGAAAAGCTAGATGCTCTGTGAGATGTTTAAACGGAGTCACTTCAAGGGTTTATCAAAAACATTTCTAAGTAAAACTGATGCACACTGAGGTCTAACGCACATTAGAAAGCATATTTGCTAATATAACTAGAGGATTATTCTCGATTACTATTAATAAATCCTCCCTTTGTAAACTTCTGCCGGTATAAATGCATCTGTAGGAGTGCATTTGCTAATACAGGAATACTGGAAAAAAGAAAAAAAAATAAGGGGAACCCCCCCCCAATATATTTCTACTCTGAATAACCTCAGCATGTGCTCCATGACACGTGCCTTTCAGAGTAAGACATACACAAAGAGCTATATATTTTCCTGCTAGTTTTGAAAGCTTTTACTTTGAAGTTATCCTAACAGTTACCCGGTCCCATCCGAAGAATTCAGCCTGGTTTACGTTATGCATCAAATTAAAATGGCTGCTCTTTGTTCGGCTAACCTGAGAAGACAAACAGCCATAGTTTTTGATTGACAAGATCCTAGCAAGGTTGCAGGTTGATATGCCAATGAGAAGAAGAAATTTTTAAAATAGGTGGAAATCACCACAGGTTTTTCCAAACATTTAAGGGAATTGCTACTATTCTTGGGTAATGGGCATGGGGGCCCTGAGGTGAAACAGAAGAAATGAGCTCTACATCTTTCATCTGCCAGTGTTTCAGGGATCCACCACAACTGCTCCGTCATCATCTGGGATGTATCCCAGGCAGAGAAGGGAAATGGTGGTACCATCACCTCCAATTAATTCCTAAATCCCACCTGGAATGTAAGACATGGTACTTGTGCTCACTTCCCATCTGCATGTTTTTCCCTGTCCTTCTTTTTTTTCTTATGTTCTTATTACTCTGTTTTTAACGAGCATGTGCTTTAACTGACCAAGACTCTGAAATAAATGTCCAGTGAGGCAAGTAAAATCCCAGTCTACAAGATGCAACCCCTTTCTCTGGCCTTGCCATCCAAGCCTCGACCTGCGAACAGGTCATATGCATCATTTATTACTTCTCCCTCAGCTACCGACTACTGAACTAGGCTTCCAATAATACCAACTCCGAAACAAAATCTCAGTAGCCTTAAGCTCTCGTGGAAGTTATACATACAGCAGCACTAAAGAAATTGTATTACCCAGTGACAAGATTTTCCAGCCTGCTGCCTAGGAATGGACATTACCTGTTCACAACACTAGACATTTACAGAATTTCAGATGACTCTACAGACGTTAGCGCTCAGATGTCAGAGACAGCTGAATCTGTGGTACTGTGTCTGATCAATTATCATCTTTCCACTAATCAGTCTGTGCAAACGGATGTAAGCTAGCAGGCATCAGAACACGCTGCCGCCTTGGATTAAATTGGTCTTAAATTCTAGTCTGAACTGCCTTCCCTTTGGCCTGGCAGCCTATGAAACAGTTATTTTCATGTTCGTAAAAAAAAAAAAAAAGAAATGAAAAGGAAGAAAAAAATCACCTTGCCATTTCATAAGGATGTTTACATTACAGAACCACAGAACGGCTAAGGGTGGGAGGCACCTCTGGAGATCATCTCGTCCAACCCCCTGCTCAAAGCTAGAGAAGGTTGCTCAGGATGCATCTGTATAGTCATGGCTCAGAAAGAAAGAAATAACTTTCCTGTTACACAGGATAAAAATTTGTAGCTGAGTGCAGTTGAAAGGTCACGCACAATCTGCTCGAGTAAGAGATCTGTTGAGCTCAGTTGCCTGTAAAATTGACTTCTCGTGGTACAAAAATCAAGAAAACAGAAGGCATGGGGAATACTTTATTGCTTTTCATGTAGTTCAGCTGTAGTCTTACCTTGAAGCCAAAAGGGCAAGTGCACTGATAAAACTCCACTGGATCATTGTTGCACGTCCCATTGTTCTTACACGGGTTGGAGAGGCAAGGGTTACACTTGGACACAACACTGATGTCTACCGGCTCTGGAAAGGCAAAACATGGTATATTAATACAGAACCGGATTAGAACATTAATACTTGCTGGTACTTACCCATACAATTTTCTAGCGCAGTATTCACCCTACGCTGGCACAAACACATATGCTGCTGGTGGAACTTGATACAACAGCACTGGATTCCCAGGGATTAAAGAGATTTTAAGTAGTTAAATCAAGTGCTGGCCAACGCTCAATGATGCTTATATTCTCATCTGAACGTACAAACATCAGCTCTGAAAAAACATCCTGGAAATCTCCAGAGAATGGGCTTATATATATGGTTTTCAGCAATTTTTCCTTCTGCCAGTGCAGGAAATTCTGCAATAGCAACCCCTAGGGAACAATAATATAACATTTCTATGGCTGGTAACAAGAATGAAAGTGCAGATGCAACAGCAGAAATGAAAAACATGCGTAAGAAAGATTTAGTTAGAGGTTTATGGAAATGTATAGGTGCAAAGTGTTCTACCATCCCTAATTTGAACTGATTTTAAAACTTATTTCCCTTCAGTTCTGCCCAGAAGAAAGACAATGAACATTCACGTATTTGGGGAAGATGCAATAAAGATAAATATGCAAATATGTTAATTTGTGCAGGTAAATGTGTACATCCATATTTAAATCATTTAATAAACCACATTTTTGAACACACCTCTTCCAAAGACGAAGTGATGTTTGTGGGCCATTGGGAAACTGAACACAGACCAGAACAATACCAAGTGTATTTGGAGTACCAAAAAAGATCACTGTTATATTGCCGTGATGTTACAGAAAGCTAACTCAGACAGCTATATTTACAATTCAAAAAACATTGATTCTGAAGTGGCGAAGTTTCAAATATTAATGACCAAATGGCTTTTACCAGTCAAAAATCAAACCAAACACCTTACGAGGATTTAAATTGCATTTTAGGCAGTAAAGCCCTTAAAACAATTTTATTTCACTTTTAAGAAAATACATTTTAAAATATCTTGAAACTGGCCCTGCACTGATTAAAAGTGGGCCCAGACTTTCCAACACTGAATGCTAATGATAAGCAGAAGGAGATTGTGAACCACCCTGGAAATGAAGACGAGAAGCTTCTAGTGGACGTGAGAGAGAAGGTGGCACTGCAGAGGGTTACCAAACCCAGGGATGGCAAGATCCCTTGGAGTCAAGGATTTGCTTTTGGCGGTCCCATATGAACCATAAACCTTCATCATTAACTTTGAACATTTACACTGCACCAGTCGGGTGAGACTATCACAGAAATGAATACTGAGGAGTCTCTGCTGAAAAGAGCCTATGATCTAAAGGCCACATCCTGACCCCATGCTGAAGGCGGTGTCCTTAACAGTGCCACCACATACACCATGAAAAACAGGAAATAACAAGGAAAAATATACAAAAAGTAACAAAACTAAAAAACGGAAGGCTGCCATCCTCTGTCTTTGGGTTTTATCTCTAACTAAACGTCATGCATGTTTTAACATGTTAGGACAGCAAGAGGAAATAACACTCGAATTTCTGGCACCAGCGGGGGGTGGAGAGCAACACACCGGAGCTGCTTTTCTCTTGGTTCTCCCAGGATATAGATAGGTATGTTCTGCTGCTTGAGGAGCTCAAGAGACACAGACACGAGTGCAGCTCTTCTGCTGGATTTAGAGGTCACTATACCAGAATATGTTCTGTTATTTATTTATTTAATTATACACACACGTACCTTTTCCATTTATTCCTATGGCATAGATCACAGCTAATCAACGTGGGAGCTAATAAGAGCAGTGTTAGTTCCTAGCACTTAAGTAGTTCATTACTTTGCCCTTGGGGATTTGATTTATAAATCCATATAGCAAAATGCCCTCAGCCTAGCACATTCCTTTCCACTACTGCATAACTAGGAGGGCAATTTAATAAAAAGCAGAGCTGACTTTGCATGACTTGCACATTACATACTTCTATTTTCTTGGCTCTGCTGAAACTTAACCTTCTGCTCAGTCACAAGCCAAAAACATAATTTTAGCAAAAGAAGCTGAAGTCTTTTTTATTTTTTTTATTGTACAAGTTACCGGAGGTCACAGAGGATATTTGTGTGCTCCCTCTAGACAAGCTGGCAAGGTGCTGTTTGCAGCAGGGCATGGATGGCATGCAGCTCACTTCTGCACCGCGGACCCAGGCTTTTAGCAGGGTTTTCCAGCCCCTGCTGAGCTCTGTGCCAGCAGCACTTGGGCTACGATTAAATCTCCACAGGCTGAAGCACACACGTTCCCTTCGCATCACCTTGCAGAGCACCACGCTGCTGCTGGCAGAGGGACGCCACCGCCGCAGCTGGGTGAGGAGGAGCCAGTGCCGCCCCTGCGCGGCACGAGGGCATCGTCGACCGTTCTGACAGTTTTGAGAGTGATGTTTCAGAATAATTAAATATAAGGTGATCTGGACTAAAAATATATTTGAAAAGCCAGAAAATTCAGCTCGACCCTGGGAACTTGGGTTTTAAACCCATCTCAACACCATCTTCTGTTTGTTTAGCAGTGTAATCCCTGCCTCTACGAAATCATCCTGCCAAGCAGCATTTTACATGCGCATACCTGTATATTGTTATTGTAAAAGGAGTATTTTGGCGTAGGTAGAGGTCCAAAACCAACGTATTTGACCAAATAAATTAAAATGATGTCCTATACGCTAGCTTGCCATTACATAATACGGTGCCACCGACAGGAATAGTGACTCTTCTGAGGTTTGCTCTTTTCCCTTACAGCGGTGCAGTAAACTCCACTTTATAGCGGGAAAACTTGCAAATCTGACTCGAATGCAACCCGATGGCTCGGGAAACGAAAAGTTAAATCCATCTCCTCCCAAATCCCCTCGAAAACCAAGCAGCTGGCCGCGATACGAAGATCAGGCGTGGCGCGCCAGGGAAGCGAAGGCGCCGCGCAGCGCGGCTTCGCGCCCGTGCCTACCTTTGCACTGGAAGTGGTGAGTCGGCGTGGTGAGCAGCAGCCTGTCGGCCATGGGCTCCGGCCCGCTGCAGCGCGCGATCCCCGGCTCCTTGTAGCCCGCCTTCACCCACTCGGAGAGCCAGCGCAGGCTGCAGTCGCAGTGCAAAGGGTTGGTGCCCAGAGCCCTGCGGGGAGCAAACATTTAACAGCGGTTACTTCGCCTTGCGAGCAAAGGTAACGTCCCTCATCTTGTCGAGGAACGTTTTACCCTGCGCTCTCACAGG